CGTGAGATTATGAGTTTTGTTCTGAAACAACTCCAAGTTCTCGGTGTACTCACTTTTATAACGATTATTGCGCCCTTTCGTCATATTCAGGAAAATCCTTGGCCATATACGTTTCATTGCTGGGGTAATTGTTGGTTTATTCGAGCGATTTGAGGTGGAAAGGATTTATAAAAAATCTGGGGAGTGTAAAACGACGATTGTGGTCTGGGGTTTGATTCAATTATTGAGAGAATGGTTGTTTCAAATTTAAACAATCGGAATTCTTCCCCGCTTTTATTGTTTAAAGGATTGGTTGATAATTTTGTTTAACGTTATTGTTCGAATTAATGTAAAATTGAAATGTAAAAAATGTAAAAAATTGAAATTTCATGGACAATTGACTAGGAATTTTTAGGAGAGTGACATTCGATTTAGAGATGAAAAAATCATTAAATTTTAGATTTTATGGAAAATTGAATTCAGTAGCGTAGTGGTAAAAGGAGATAAGTCAATTTTGACTATTGACCAGTTTTCAATCAATATCTCGGAACGTAAGGGAGATAGCAAAATTTTTGTTATGACTTTTTTGTGGGCCGATTGAGTGCTACAACAAATGTAATTACGAAAATTTCGCTATCTCCCTTAGATTCTAAAATATTACTCAAAAACTCAACTGGGAGATAAGTCGACTTATCTCCTTTTACCAATTCACTACTGAATTAAATTCTTAATTTTTTAAGAAGCAAAAAAACGAGAATTCTCTAATTAAATTGAATTTTCAATCACAATAAGGAAATTATCAAAATATCACTGGACTTTTAACTACTTGAAAATTCAAAAATATATCACCTGAATTTTCTTGAATAATTAAATAAAAATCAACAGTTTGCATTAATTTTTCACCAAATTGTAGATTTTCAATGACGAAATTCCTTGAAATTCCAGTGAATCCATCGTGATAAAATTTTTAAAAAAAGTACCAAAATTTTCAGACAAAAATTTCCACCCGTTACTTCCCACAATTGCCCGCGTACTTTCATAATTTTTCCCAAAAAGCAAATTATCCTCCAACATCTTCAAAACCGATTGATTCTCCAAAATTCTTCGGAATTGATTTTCGCGACAGAATTCCCCAAATTGCACAAACCCCATAAAAAATGAAAAAATCTCTGTAAACCTCCATACCTCAGGCGATCATCCCCGAGCGATTATCACCGTTAAAAAAACCCCCCCAGAACCATACATCACCCCCCGAGTCTCGTTAGTGCCGGCCAGTTAATCTCCTAGACCACACGAATTTCTTCTGTACAAATGACCACAATATCTTTCTCTTTATTTTCGCTCCATCCAACTCACTAACCACACTCTATCCCCCCCTGGGTAAACTCCTCGTACACAGTGGGGTGCTAATTTTTGCGCGAAAGAAAAGCCGAGGAAGCACAGACACCTGGCACGTTCCCAGCCCCAGGAGATCAACGGACAAATGACACGCGATTCCCATTCCACCCACACCTTCGCATCTCAGTGCTTTTTCGGGTGGGAGGTGGTTCACTGGCAGTTTGTAACCACCCTCCGATTAATGTCTTATTCGCGAGCGACTCATGATTCCAAAAGAGAAATTCTCCCGGCATTCAGCACCCACTCATCCCCCGTCGGAAAAGGAGCTCATTCTCCTGGAACAGTAACATGATCGTGTATACGTGAGCGCTAACGATCCGAGGATGGATTTCACCCCCGGTTCGTCGTGGATAAAGTAAATTCGACGGTTATTTATACTCCTGTTGCTCCACTTAATCCCAATCCCATTTTTATTTATTCCAGTTCACCCAGAGAATTGTTTGTGATGAAACTCTTCGTTTGGTGAAGGATTGGTACGTAGTTGAGAAGGGAATGTTTTTTTTAGGGAACTGCGACATTCTAAAATTAACGAGTGAATCTGTGCGCTAATTACATGTACGAAATGTTTAATAGAAAAACCTACACGGACAGAAATATTCAATAAAAATTACGTATCTTTTCCGTAATTCCGGAGCGAAATTGTGGTTGTAGGAAATTTTACGGAACTGTCACGGAATTTTTCCAGAGCGTTCCGTAATTTTTATCTGAATCTCCTGTGAAAAATTACGATACCGTCACTTGGTGAGGGATTGATACGTAGTTCAGAAGGAAATGTTTTTTTAGGGAACTGCGACATTCTAAAAATGAACGAGTTAATTCAGTAGCGAAGTGGTCAAACGGTTTAATTCAATTTAGTCGAGTTTTCCAGAAATATTTCCGAATTTAAGGAAGATAGCGAAATTTTCATGATAACCTTTTTTGTTGAGCGAATTAAGTGCTACTAAAAAGGTTATGAGAAAAATTTTGCTATCTTCCTTAGATGTCGAGATATTTATTGAAAACTGATCAATAGCCAAAATCGACTTAAACCGTTTGACCACTTCGCTACTTAATTTATGCGCTGAGTTCACGTACAAAAGAATTTAATGGAAAAACCTAACGAATTGGCTAGACAATTCTATTGGATTTCTATTGAACTTTCTATTAGTTTTTAGCCGTTTCTATTGGAATATAAAAAATATTATATTGAAAAAAGAAATCACATTCTATTTTTCTATACAACTCATTTTACTGGGATATATTCTATGGAATTTCATTAGAATTTTGTTTCATTTTCTTGATGAAAAGAAAAAAAATATATAATAATAAAAAAAATAGAGGGATTGTTGAATAAATTAACAATACTGCCGACTCATTGTTGCATTTCCTGTTGTTTCCCCGAGCAATGTCTCACCATAATTGAGTAATTAGGTCGTAAATAAACGTGATAAAAATGATAAAACTTTCTCGTTGTATTGTGACTTTCAAGGGATCCTTAAATCTCAGTGAAGCCAAACCCTTTTCCTGGAAACATTGTCCCCGCAGTGCTTCACCGCACTCCTATCTCCTCACTTTTTCGTGCGTATAATTAAGAAATCCTCGAAAAGACTCGACTAAATTAACTCCATGACTTATTCGTGTTTTATCTACAATTGCACAGAGTTGTGGGATTTAATTTACGACCTCTGATATTTCTCAATTTTTAAGATTTATTTCTTCACATAAATTGCATGAAAAAAATCAAGAACATTAGCTATTTCATTCCTTTTGTATCCAATAATGAATTTTAATGATGAAATTTCTCAAAATGCCAATGAAATTATCACTTAATAAACAAATTTCAAGACATGTACCAAAAATTTCCGCAACAAATTATCAAAAGTCACTTCGTTACAAGAATTGGATGGAAAATAATCTTAATAGTAATTATCCCACTACTTTTTGTGGAATAATTTCATTGAAATTTTGAGGAATGACGAAATTCCTCAAAATTTCAATGAAACTGTCACTCAATAAAAAAAATCCAAGAAGTGTACCATAATTTTCCCCAAAAAATTTTAAACAGTGTGATTTTTATTCAATTTTCATCTTTATTTACGATAAAATCCCTTTACAGGGCTTTTAGCTCTCGTTAGAAGAGATAATCGAGAGTGAATATTCGAGAATTTAAGATGGCAAACTTGGGTAAACTCAAGAGAACAGGCAAGAGGGTTCTGATTGCAAATTTTAAGCTTGTTTAATTTAACACCTTGCCCGTGTAAGCCTCGTCTTTTAAAGTGGGGGTGGGAGGATAGGTAAGAGGGATTGAAAGAAAGTGAGAGGGGAGGGGGGGCTGAGGAAACCGGAGGAGTCGAAAGTTTGAAGTTTTCAACGGCTCGACTAGCATCCACTAAATTTCAGTTCTCCCTCGCTCTTACGCTTCACGTCGCTACAGCAGCTTTCGCTCCACATAAATATGGCTTCGAGAGGGAGCTGCACATTTCACCCGTCTATACCCCCCTCCCCCTGCCCCTCCCTCGTCTTTCCTCTTATTTCGCCACCCTCCTGAGTCAAGTTACCCGCCCGAGTTGAGATACAAGTTCGTCCGACCTTTTGTTTTAACAAGTGAAGCTCGACGGAAGTGTTTCGCATTAGGTTCTTCATACTTTGATGATTCAATTTTCAATTGAATGAATTTGGAGGAGAGTATTTGGGAAATTATTAGTGGAGACCACAGGAGGGATCGCATCGTCGAAGTTGATATTTGTATTAAAGAATGTATTAAAGAATTGAGGAATTATCACGATTATAAGCGATTTCAGGAAAATATGTCAACAGACATTGTATGATTGAACATTAGATCAAATAACGATTTTAGATCAATTTTTAAGCGAAGTAGTTCTAGTATGAAATTTATAGATTGAATGATTTTGAGGTCAAATATTAGTGAATTTAAATATTTCGAATATAAAGAGAATAAAATAAACGAAATACACTTTTAGAAAAAGGTTGAAATTTCAAAATTTATGAAAATTTCATAAAATTCAACATTTTTTAACGGCAGAGGCACGACAATTCGTCAACTTATTTGAATTTTCAAAGAAGACATGAGTATTTAATACTAAATCACGTTAATTCTCAATTAATAAATTTGAAATAATTAATTTTTTTTATTCGAATACGAATACATTTGCGTCAAATTTTTGTATTTTCATTGATTTTTACGGAATACTTGAACTAGAGTTTACAATTTCCGTTAATTTTGTCATCAATTATGAATTTTCAAAGGCGACATGGCTTGAAATTCCAGGAGAACTCTCTCAGGAAAAACAATTTTTTAGAGAAATTCATGTGGAAAAATTATTACATGCCCCCAATAATTCTTCCAAGTGTACAAATTACGCAATGTTAATGTGCTAACACACGAATTTTTATGGAAAATTTTTCTCCGTGCACTTGATAAAAAATTTCGAAGAAGTTTACTAGAAATTTCTCGGTTTCTCGACATTTTGTTCCGAAATCATTCAATCATTGCCGTAATCAATTGCGTAATTGCGCCATTTTGCAATAATTCTTAACAAAAATGAATAAATTATCAAATATCATGCAACAATTGAAGAGAATAGACCAAAATAAACAATGATATCATTTTTATTCTGTTTCAGAACGTAGCTGGGGCTCAGGCGAGACAAACAAATGGCGATGTTGGTCATAACCACAATGGGTATCAGCCAGCAGCCACCTCCGCCGGTGCCCATAACGCTCTAAATCCCATGAATAATTTAAACGGCATCAACGCACAGGCTACGTACGACACCAAATGACAGTCGAAGTAGGAGAAATTTTTCTATCTGAACGCCGGTGAATCGATTCCTTCGCGAAAGAAGGAAAAACGGTGGAGGAATATCTGAAGCTGCCAAAGACTAGAAGAATCATGATTACTAGTTTACCCACAATTGCGTTCTATTATGCATTAAAAAAGCTATTTTACTAATTCTAAATAGACATGCCTTGCGAATAATTTGTTTTAATCGCACGCATGAAAATTTAATCTAGAAATATAAAGAAATCTCATTTCAATCTTCAGAAGTGAAAATTGAATGAAAGATTTCTTTTCTGTTTGAGGACTTGACGAGATTGAAATTGTGCAACCAACAGCACAAGAAAAGTTTCGACCTGTTTTGCTCCATAGTTTCAATATATTTCGTTTAATAAACGAAACAGAATTTATTCAGTAATTAGCGAATAATAATGGAATCATTTTTTTACAATAAATCTTTCAGTCTTATCAAGTTTAGAAGCAAAAATAATTGCTCGTGAATTAATGACAGTCGAAGTAGGAAAATTTTTTTACCCAAACACCGGTGAATAGATTTCTTCACGAAGAAAGAGAAACGGTGGAGGAATGTCTGAAGCTGCCAAAGACTAGAAGAATTATGATGACTAGTTTACCCCCAATTGAGTTCCATTCTGCATTAAAAAAGCTATTTTACAAATTCTAAATAGACATGCTTTGTGACGAATTTGTTTTAATCGCAAGCATGAAAATTTAATCTAGAAATTTAAAGAAATCTCATTTCAATTTTCTGAAGTGAAAAACCAATGAAAGATTTCTTTTCTGCTTGAGGACTTGATGAGATTAAAATTGTGCAACCAACAGCACAAGAAAATTTTTGACCTGTTTTGCCCCGTAATTTCAAAATATTTCGTCTAATATAACTCCAATTAATTACGCGAAAGATGAAAAATGTTATTCAATAAGTAGTAAATGATAATTGAATGAATTTTTTTTCAACAATAAATCTCCCAGTCTTATCAAGTTCACAAACAAAAAAAATTGTTGTTGAATTGAAAAGAATGTTCTTAATTATGAATTTTTTCCCCAGCTAAAGTAGTATTTGGTTACATTAAATTATTAGGCTGTAAATACTGAGGGAAATTTGAGGAAATTATTTGAATCATCCAATAATTCTCATTTGTTACGATTCGAGTATATTTCCTCAGTAAAAAAATTGGTGCTCTCTAGAAAATTAAAATCCATTGTTACTAAAAACACTAAAAACAGTAAGGCCAATGGATTCTGAAAGGTCTCTCCCCACCGATGTAAACCACCTAAAAGTTCCTCCCGCATGGAGAGAAAATTTGGATGAAAATTACCTAGAAAATCATGGAAAATTCAACTGTACGAAAAGTAATCGTGGAGCGAAATGTAATTGAATGACAGAATACCTATTTGTGGAGGATATTTATTTATTTTTTAATTTTTTTATTTCTGCGAATTGATACATGATATCGTTTCGCAAATTATGAATATTTTACGATTCGTTTAGTAAAAAAAGCACATCTACCGGTGCAAATATTATCCACCTGCACTAAGAGAAAAATTTCTTAACATATTACATATCGAAACATTGCAAGTGCATGAAAAAGAAAATCATGAAAACAATAAATAGGCCCTGACTATTCGCACCATTGCGTGAATCACTCCCGTACACTCCATACACTCCACGCATGCGTGAAGTTTGTGTGTTTCACACAGCCGAATTTTCATACTGCTGTGTGAAACACAGGTGTATAAAAATACAAATGCGTGAAACACACAGTAGCCTTAAAACCTATTCCATTCGATTCCTGAGGAAATTTGGGTTTCCCTATAGGCAAGTGCATGACTCAGAATTGCGTTTTTCCACTTCCTAGGCCTTATACAAGATGAATCAAATTAATTTTTTT